AAAAGACAAAGAAAAGAAAAAGAAAAATGAAAAAGAAAGAAAAAGAGAAAAAGCAAGGAGCAATTCAAACTTCCCTGGGTCCACCCCAGACCTTGTTATCTGAGAATACAGATATGGAGCTCAGAAATCTTTGTTTTATCAAGCCCTCTGGGGCTTGATAATCAAGCTAGTGTTTAGGACCACTGCTCTAATGCACCATATACAAAAAAATTAATACACCACAGCTAAGTTACATGTTACTATGGGAGAGGAAAGCTGGTTTGACATTAGCAAAGCTGTAACTGGAAGGGGACCCGAGAGAAGGTTTATGTGTGTTTCATATATTTTGTTGTTTGTTCTGGTATACTAATTGGCATGCGTATATTTAATTTTTGAAAACTCACTAAGAGGCGCCTGGCCTTGGTGGCTCACACCTGTAATCTCAGCACTTTTGTCTGGCGGACTGCTTGAGCCCAGGAGTTCACGATGGCCTGGGCAACATGGCGAAACCCCCCGTCTCTCCAAATATACGAAAATTAGCTGGGGATGGTGGCGTGTGCTTGTAGTCCCAGGTACTTGAAGAGCTGAGGCAGGAGGATTGCTTGAGCCAGGAGGTGGAGGTTGCAGTGAGCCAAGATCACCGACACTGCACTTCAGCAGCCTGAGTGACAGAGTGAGGGGCTGCTTTTTTGTTTCCATTTTGTTTACAAATCAAATAAAGAAAGCAACCCAAGGAATAAAGGGAAGGAAGGAAGAGAGAGAGAGAGAGAGAAAGGGAGAAAGGATAAGAAAGAGAGAAAGAAAGGAAAAGAAAGAAAGAGATAGAAAACTCATTAAGATATACATTTATGATTTTTTAACCGTTTGGATTATAAGATAAACTTTGCTGAAGGTTTTGGAAAAAACCTGGAAGTTACTTAGGCCAGGTACTCTAGAGATAGTGGATTCTCCCATAACTGATCCACGGATTCAGTGAAAACGCAATCCAAATCGGTTACAACCGAATTTTTGGGAAACTTGAAATTGCATGCTAATTTATGAAGGAGGACAAAAGGCGTAAGACATGCGGGGGTGGGGGTGGCGTGGTGTAGGGAGACAGGAAGAAGAAAGGAAGGAAGGAAGGAGGAAAGGGAAGAAAGGAAGGGAAAGGAAGGGAAGGGAAAGGAAGGGAAAGGAAGGGAAGGGAAAGGAAAGAAAAGGAAATGAAAGGAAAAGGTAAGGAAAACACAAGGAAACAATACCAATATGGAAATGCTGGCAGCATTCCTTTTAAAATCCGGAACAACCCAAAGAAGCCCAATTTTGCTGTCGCTATTAGATCTTGTACTAGATTTCCTAGCCAGCGCAGTTAAAACACAACCAACCAACCAACCAGAAAACAAAAATCGCAAACAAAAAAACCCCATAACTTCAATTCTATTTCTACTATGCATAAACTCACAGATAATCCCAGAACGCCTACTACAGAGTTTAGCATGTTGACTGACTTTAAGATCAAGTCACGTTTTTAAAAGTTAAAGTCGTTTCTGTAAATTAGATCCAAATAGAAATTGTCCTTTTAAACAGACATCAAGTGCAAGCACAGCAACGATCTACAGTATCTTGGAATAAATACAATGAATGATGTGCAAGATCTAAATATCCAAAAGATAAAACTAAAAACTGAACTGAAAGATTAAAACATTAAGGGCCCACGTAAGTGGAGACATCCCAAGTTGGTGAATAGGAAGGCTGAGTATTCTGCAGATAGTGGATTCTCCCCTAACTGATCCACAGATTCAGTGAAAATGCAATCCAAATCTGTTACAACTGAGTCTGGGGAGACTTGACATTGCACACTAATTCATGCGGAGGGACAAAAAGGCAAAGAATAGCAAAGACGTGTTTGGAGATGATGAATACCATGCAGGAACTTACCCTAGCCGACGTCAAGATGTATCATGAAGTGAAAAAATTTAGGACAATTTAGTAGTGGCACAGGAATAGACACATTTATCTGTGGAACATTACAGGGAGTTCATAAACAGAGACAAATACGGACGAAAGTGTTTCCAAGCATCGTTCCCTGGGGGTTGCAAAGTCACCACTGATTGGGAATCCGCGGCACAGAAATATGGATCGATCTTTAATCACACGCTGAATTTTTAAAAGGTAAATTACAAAATACCAAGTACGTGAGTTAAAAATGCATGCACACAAAATATTTCACACCCAAAGGGAGACCAATCTGGGAAACAAGCTTTGGGGAGTATAAAGCTCAACGATCACTTCAGGATTTCTTGACTGACCTAGTACAGGGAGCAGGAGAAGCTACATGGAGGTGAAGGGGGCGTGACCTCAGAACGTGAGCCTCAAGAGATCTCGAGGTTCATTGGTCGCCAGCCACAGCGGCGGGAGGTTGAAGGCAGCGCAAGAGCTCACTGGCCTTTGTGGCAAGGGCGGGAAGGGAAGCGGAAGCTGGATCTTCCCTCAGACCCTCTGACTGGTTCTGACTTGCTGGAGGCTGGGGCAACCACAGGTTGACATGAGAATTAGGCCCTCGTTCTCCACGCCTCTTATTTCCTCCCACCCTCCTGAGCCAGATTCCCAACTCTGCTACCTTCCCCTCTCTGCTACCTCAGCAGGGAACTCCCATCTGCTCCTGATGTCCCATCGCGCCCTCAGCTGTCCCGGAATCCCTTTTGGGAGGACCCCTTGCTCCAGCCCCCTGAGCCCCGGCCTTTGGCCAGTGAGGCAGGGCTCATGGGACTACTTTTGATTCAGAGGTCCGGGAGGGAGTGGATGATTGGGCTTCCTGAGGAAGTGGTGCACTCCAGGGTGGTGGGACTGTGTGTGTGGTGTGGGGTGGGGTGGGGGTGGGGGGAGATGGTGTGCTCCAGAAAAATTGTTGAAGTGTGGAGTGGAATATGGAAGAGTTGGGGGAGACTGTGGAGGGAATGTGTGGGTTTGCATGAAAGCAGAAAAGGTGTGTCAGTCCAAGAGAAACACTACTGCACTGAGGAGTTTCCTATTGGCTAGATCAGAACCTGACACTTCATAGGAGGCTCAACAGGTACCTGCTGAATGAAGAATCAAGAGAATCGGCCGGGCCCGGTGGCTCATGCCTGTAATCCCAGCACCTTGGGAGGCCGAGGCGGGTGGATCAGCCTGGCCAACATGGTGAAACCCCGTCTCTATTAAAAATTACAAAAAATTAGCCAGGCGTGGTGGCAGGCACCTGTAATCCCAGCTACTCGGGAGGATGAGGCAGAAGAATCACTTGAACCCGGGAGGCAGAGGTTGCAGTGAGCCGAGATCACGCCATTGCACTCCAGCCTGGGTAACAAGAGCGAAACTCCGTCTCAAAAGAAAAAAGAAAAAAGAAAAAAAAAAAAAAAGAAGAATCAAGGGGATGCATGAAGGGATGAATGAAATTAATAATTGAAAGAGGGCCAGGGATCCAGGAGAACAATACGATTTCATGGGATACAAGAGGGAAATCAGTTCAAAGGGGGAGCAAGGGAATAATTAAGTGTAAGGTGGGGTACAAGAAAAAAAATCAGCATGAATCAGCACGAAATGTGAGGGGAAAATTGAATATAGGGCATAGAAGAGACTGACAATGGAATTGAGTGCTGGGGGCACAAAATCCTTTGTGGGGAGTGAATGAATGCAGGAGGTTCGGAAGAGAATTGTTGAAGTGGATGCCAGGAATAATACCTGGGTTTGGCAGAGTGCAGGATGATACACAAGAAGGGGGTGTAGTAATGGTGGAAGAGGGCACGGGAGTGCATGTGCATGCCTGAAAGTGGGGTCTGTGGTGAAGTGATGGTAAGCAAGGAGAATAATGACTGCATTGAATGGGTATGGGATCCTTTCCAAGAGTTTCTCGGGAAGGGGCTATGTGTGATTGGGGCTTCTGTGAAGGAGGCAACATGAGCAAGGAGGTCGTAGTGAAGGCTGGTGAAAACCGTGGGAGAAGAAGGGGAGGGAAGGCAATCTGATTCCAGCGGTGAGAAGGATGGAGAAGGAGCATTCAGCCACCTCAGATAGGGTTTTCCAAGGGCAGAGGAAGTACGCTGGGGGTAGGGGATCATGTGGCCATTCTGACCTCCACTCCTGACCCTAGAAGCATGGATCCCAAATAAATACCTGCTGCACCCTGCTGCCCCTCTGACTCTGAATGCACAGCGTGAGACTGGAGCCCCATGGGGGACTCAGCTTGGCCCCAGAAGAGCTATAGGTTGCTGTGACCGCTGCCACGACCATGGTATTACTGCCCAAATCAGCGGCCACAAGCATTTCTGCCTCTTCCAGGCCTGCGAGTGTCACAATTGTGCCCTCTTCTCATGAGTATGGTGTCTGAGATGGGGAGGGCCCAGACCTTCTCTAAATGGGACTAACCTTAGCCCCGCAATCCTTTACTTCAGAGAACACCTCAGGGTCTTGCCTGCTGTGAGTGCCTTGAAGAGGGAGCAGCGGGCACGGCCAAAGAGACACCTGGCTCAAGGACCAATAAGGAGTATGGCTGCCCCTCCCAAAGCTCCCATCCGTGTCAGGAATTTGACCATCAGAGCAGGAGTCCTCAGTGAGTGTTTCTGGCCAGGGAGGGAGCCAGAGTTTGGGTGGAGGAAGCATGAGTAGTTCTGTCACCAGTCCTGTCACAGAATTGCAGTGTGACCTGGGGCAAGTTGCTCCCCGGACCTTAGTTTGCCCAGGTGCAAAATGTCATCAATGTTATCTAATCTACCGAGTGTTTGCAGGAAGGAGAGAAGCTGGGGACAAGGGAACTGAAGAGCCTTGGTGAGATGAGACACCTGAGACATGCGATTGTGGGGTGAAGTGGGGTGGGTTGGGGAAAGACTCATCCAAAGCTGTTCCTGGTCCTTTCACAGCTGGGAAGGAGAACAACATGCTGCAGCCCGAGACCCACATCTTCACAGCTCCGAGGAGGTAAGGAGAGTCGGTGGACCAGTCGGGCCAGGCTCCCACCCAGCCACTGTCCAGGCATCTTTCACTGTGTCCAAGGGATATGGGTTTCATCTCCAATCCTATCACCAGCTCACCATGTGACCTTGGGAAAAATCACTTCTCCTCCCTGGGCCTCAATTTCCCCAGTTGCAAAATGAAAGGTAGAAACTGGCTGGTCTTCAAGGTCTCAGGCCTCTGACATTCTAGGCTCCTATCCTCATCCAAAAGATGTCCACACCTCCTCTCTCATGGCCGGCCTGGTACCTGACTGCAACCTGTGCTCTCTGCCCCTGCAGGGGAGCTCCCAAGGGGCTCTGCTGCTTGGCCAGGCCCCAGAATCTTTGTCTCTGCCTCGTACTCCAGTGACCTTGGAGCAGCAACTGGTTTCTCTCTTATGGAGATCCCACAGGCCCCCTAGCCTGGCCACGCATGTGAGTAGAGTGAGGACCATGGAGCAGGTTGTGTCTTGTGTGCCTAACCTTGTGCTTGATGCCATGGGAGATGGAAGGGGAAGAGCGGGAGGAGGAGGAGGAGGAGGAAGTGGAGGGGGGGGAGGAGTAAGAGGAGGAGGAGGAGGAGGAGGAAGAGAAGGAGGAGGAGAAGAAGGAGGAGGACAAGGCAGCATGTAATACTAACGGGCGAGGACAGGGCTCTCCTAGCTTTGCTATTTTCTATTTGTGAGACTTTGGACAAGTGACTTTATGTGTCTGAACCTCCATTTCCCTATGGATATACTGAGGACAATATTCTATACCCATAGCATTGAAAAGAGAACTGGCACAAGGCCTGCCACATAGTAGGGCTTCAACAAATGGGGGTTGTTATTCCACATGAAACAGGTGGATGGGATAGAAGGTCCTGCTGAAAGGTGGGGTCCAAGCTGGTGAGGGCCACAGAGGCCCAGGGCAAAGTCCAGAGGCCATTAGAGAAAGCTTCCTGGAGACGAGCCATGCTTGTCCTTCAAGACCCATGGGGACTGGGCAATATGGAAGTGAGAACCAGTCCCTGAACAGGGACAGTAATCACATCTCTCCAGGTGCTTTGCAAATTAAAACACGGACACCTGTAATTTCCCATGATTTTCACCATTGCCCTGGGAAGGAAAGAGCTGGTAGGAATAAACGTCCCTGTCAGGAAAAAGAGGTATGGAAAAGAAACCTGGCCAAGCAGGAGAAGGGACTTGCCCCAGCCGCAATGACTAATGGTCCAGCAGGCATGGGGATTCACACATCCAGATATTGCAAAATCCTGCCCCTCTTTCTGTCTACTGATAGTATGTGTCCACCAGTGGATTTAATCCCCTGGCCTCTCCTTTCCTTGTTTCTAGATGCTCAACTCTGATCCTCCAGCCCCGTGCCACCCTTGACCCTCTTCTACTGCAGCCACAGGTCCTGGGAAAGTAGTGGGGTCCAGAACCCTGGGAGGGATGGAGTTTAGTGGATGGGAAGAGCAGAAGGCCTTGGTGGGGGTGGGGGAGGAGGTTGAGGGAACACGGGGCTGAAGGGGCACTTGTCGTATTGGGAAGAGGTGTAGTTTCCCAGTGCCTATTCTCTCACACACTTTCCTTTGCAGGTCCCCAAAGTCTCTGACCAGGCTTTGGTTTCTGCCCACTCAGAGTGGCAGCGGAAACTGGAGGCCGCTGAGGCTCTGCTGACTCTGAGAAACTCTGCCCAAGCCCCTCCTGACTCCATCTCCCTGCACCAGCCTTGCAACCCACCAGGTAGCCTGCTCCCTGAAAGGAGAACACAGGGTGGGAATAGCTGGGGAATGGGGGTCGTTGTGGTAAGCAGGTTCTAGCTGAAAAATCAGAGTCAGTAAGTTGAATCTCCTTGGGGCCAGGCACCCAAGCTCCTCAGTATGACTCCCGAGATAGTAGTTGAGTGCTGTTTACTGAATCTTCGGTTTATCGAGCTTTGTGCGCAACAGCAAGCGTTCAGTGCCCTGATGTCAAGAAAGAAGGAAGTTCAGGCCCTGAGAGTGGCAGGGACTTGCCCTCTCTGATATGCATGCAGCATATCAAGTGGAAGAACCAGCCCTCTTGACTTTCAGCCCAGGGTCTATGCTCAGCCCCCCTGTGGCCTACTGTGGTCTGGGGAGGACATACAGAGGTGATAAAGGGCTTGGTCTGGAAGGAGGTCTGGTCTCTGCCTTCCGAGAGCATCCAGTCTAGAAGTGGAGCCTGGATGCCCTGGCAAGCTGTGTTTTGTGGTCAAATTTTAACGATGTGCCCAGAGAAGAGGGGCTGGAGGAGCTCCGAGGGGGATAAACAACTGGGGAGGCTGGGAGGGAAGGCTAGGCATTCCCAGATCAAAATGGTGAATGGAGCATGGTGTGTCAGTGAAGAAACACCCCTGGAGGGACTGCTGGAACAGAAAGGGATGAGGCTGGAGAGGGTACCAATCACAGAGGTCTGACAGGTCAGGCTTAGGAGGCTGGACCAGCAACTGTGGGTAGTGAGGAGCCAGGGAACGTTTTCTGAGCTAGGGAGAACAATTTCACAGACCCCGAGCTTGACAAAAAGACTTGTGGTGGCTTTGATGGAAGGATTGGGGGAGGCGAGATGGGAGATGGGGAAATCAGAGAGGAAGAGATCTATGCAACAGGCCAGGTGACAAATCTTTGGTTGGGCGGGACACATAAAACGAGTAGATCTGGAAGGGGATGTGGATGTGACCTGGCTCTGGCCCCTTCCTTTCTGTCCACAGCTCCTGCTGGAGATAAAGGATTCCAGCCTCCCAGCCCCTCTCTCCGCCCCAGGCCAGCCAGCTCCATCTCGCTGCCTATTGGACATCTGGGATGCATCTCCCTCTTGAGCTAGGAACCCAGGGGAGGAGGCCTCAACAGAGCACTGCCTATTTAGTATCCAGTTTCTGAATGTGCAAAATGGTTAACGTCCAAAACGCTTAACATCTTTTTTTTTTTTTTTTTTTTTTAAGCCTTCAGGTGTTTTATAAGCTTTTTATTATATGGGGCAATTCCTTGACTGAAGGTGGATATTCTTGTGCCTCTATCCCTCACTCTTTTGGATGCCGGGGCCTTTTTCTGTTTCGTAAAGACAGGATTGTGCAATCTAAGTTGATCAGTCTCTCAGTGGGATTCTGTGTGGATTCATATGCCAGAGTTTTTATTCGTCTTGTGATTGCTGACATACCTGTGCACTCATGTGCGTACCCATGCTTGTGGAAACATGAAGATGTTTTCACTTTGTGTCTAGGTTTATGTACGTGAACAAATAATAAACCCTTGTTGTTATAAGGCACTGTGATATACGGGTTGTTTGTTACCACAGTATAACCCAGACTATCCCGACTCTAACCGATTTGTTCAATTCATGTTTCCAAGTGAGAATCACCTTATCCGATAACTGAGATTTCCTAACATGGCTAGATAAGAAAATGGTAGAGGAAAAAGAGTAAGGTATTTATTCATTGAGCAATTAAGTACCTACCCTCTGCCTGGCATAGACTGTTTCCAGTTGCCCAGAGGGTCATAAGTGGCAATGTCTGTAGGATCAAGCAGATCATGTAAATGAGTAGAGCAGGCCCGATGGGCTCTGGCCAAACTGACAGTGTGTGCTGTACGTAAGCGGGCAGCTGCTACTTGGCTCTAGGCAATTGTTGCCATGCAGGGATAGCGACTCATGGTGGCCAAATTGGCTGGGTTTTCACGAGAAGATGGAATTCTAGATTTCTATATAAAATCACTCAACTTGTAAGCATTGGCTCGGGTTTCTTCTTTAAGCCCTATATCTGGGCCAAACCAAACTTCCATGAAGGACAGTTTTGCCCAATGGAAATGCCGGTTTTATTCTAGACCAATGTGAATTTTACAGTGGAGGAAACTGAGGCCACTCAGGACAAGAAGAATCAAACAGGGGAAATGAATTAGACTCAGACCCTATTTTTGAAGGACCCATGAAATATGAGGAAGCACCACTACCTTTTATTTATTTTGTGCTCACCGCACTAAGCACATACAGCCTCACGGCAACTTTGCAAGTTAAACATTATTATTGCCATTTTGCCGATGAGGAAACACACTCAAAGAATGACAGTGACTTGCAAAAGTGGTTTGGGGGAAATTTTTAGCCAAAGATCAGCGAACTCTCCCTTGTCTTTACCAGGCCCTGAATCAGCTAATAGTTCGATTTTTTAATAAAGCATTGAATAAAAGGCTCAAAACTCAAAGCAACAAACATCAGTCAGAGGGTTTTTCCAAAATAGTCCCTTTATTTCTTACTCAAGGTAACAATATGTAGTAATCGATCAGCTCTTTATTACCTGCAGTGGTTTCCCAGTCCTCTGCTGATATTCTAAACAAATGAAGACCTGGAGACCCCCACCAGGCAGAAAGAAAGCTCAACTGGACATGCCTCGATATGGGCCCTTTTCCTTGCTATTAGCTCCCTCCTTTCTTCCCTCCCAGTACTTTACCCAAGACGATTGATTCGGATGACATCCAGTTACAACTTGTCCTTTCTTTTTTGAGACCCCGAGAAGTCAGGATTCTTATATTCTTGATCTGATGGCAGAGAAACAAACGTGCAAAGTCACTCAGACTTGGAGCAAGACTAGACTGAAGTCCATCTCATACCTTCCTTCCTTCCCTGATTTGTTACTCGAACGAATGATCCCCAAGCCCCTCCTTTCGTAGTGATGGATGAACAAGTCCACATATTTCTGGAGGAATGAAGCGGTGGTACCTGGAAGAGGACTAAGATCCTGCTATGAAATTGTGTCCTAGGCACACCACAGTCCCACAGTTGACTTGGGTAAAAGAGGAGGCATATTTTGGTTAAAGGATGTGGCATGAGAAGAGGGAGGAAAAACAGAAATAAAGTGATGGGCATCAGGGGAAGGAGTGAGGCCCTTTTCCCTGTGCCCTTTTATTTTCCTGATGCCCCCCCTCCACCCATACACACACAGACTTTTTCAAAAGTCTCATGACGGTGTATTTTTTGCATCTAAGGACGTCTTTGTGAATGTTAAATATCAAACCTTTTTCATGTTCTTCCCTTTGCTGTGTACTACCCCAGTTCATAGATTTAAAACATCACTGTATAGAGCACTGTGAGTTATGTCTTGACTCGTGTATGTCACGTAACAGCATTGGTTAGATCTGAGCATACCCATCACATCAGAGCTTCTGTAGAGTGGATCAATTTCAAACATTAGTGTGCAGGTACAGGTTTAGCAACTGGCTCTCAGGGGGAAGGAAGGTTGGGGGAAATGCCCTGGGTTGTTGCACTTGCTGAGTGCAAGATATCAAAGTGATATCAGTGAATGCAGAGTTGGGAAGAGATATATTTTTACCATTCGGATACCATAAATGTAAATAACCATGAGAACACAGATAACAGTACAAAGTAGAAAAATAATTAGGGATTGATTTTTTTTTAGCATATATTATGTTTGTTTTCAATATAATTGATCTGATTGTTAGTTTATATAATGTAGTTTTTAATAATGGCTGTATTTAACAACTGGCTCACGAAATTCTTGAAAATCTTATGGTTGGCTCTGATGTTCCGGTAAGAGCCAGCTCCAGCACTCTGCCACTTTCAACCCTTGCCCAGAAAGACGGCTTTTCCAAAGTAGGTTCCACTAACACTGCAGGGCCATAAAGGGCTGCTACTGCTGGTTTCTGACCAAGAACAGCCTAAAATGTGTGGGAAAGTGCTATTTTTAAAGTTAAAAATGGAAAGATCTGGGACAGATATTGAGCGGAATTCCCATTTATGTGGGGATGTGCATTCTTGGAGGGGGCCAAAGTCGGGTAGAGGTGAGTGGTAGGGATCTCAGAATTAGCAAAACCCATCCATACAGGGTTATATTCAACAGATTTCTCTTTTCTATTTTGTCAACGGATTTCTTAAAGGCTAAAGAAACGGGGCAACTGGTATTGCCTGGCCATGGGATCTGTATCTCTCTCTCTCTCTCTTTAGAGAGACTGACGTTCACTACACTCCCTCCTCCTGCTTAGATAAATGCTGCATAAGCTATTAACACATAAACTTCTCCACCTTGCCTTTTTAAAAAACTTAAAAACATATCCTTGAGGCTACTTGATCGCCAAGCTGAGAACAGTGTTATTTCAGTGAATGGATGTACTGACCACACTATTATGCATCTTGTGAAGCATTTAAAGTCACACATATAAGAAAAGTTTCTATGAATGCCACTTGTTCCCCATGTTGAGAACTGTGTTATTTCAGTGAGTAGATGTGGTAGCTACAATGTAATGCATGTACTGAAGTGGTTAAAGACACATGAATAAACAAAGTTACTAAAAGTGAAAAAAGAGAAATCCTTGAGGCCGGCGTGGTGGCTCACGCCTGTAATCCCAACATTTTGGGAGGCCGAGGCAGGTGGATCACTTGAGGTCAGGAGTTTGAGACCAGTCTGGCCAACATGGTTTAACACCCTGTCTCTACTAAAAATACAAAAATTAGTCAGGCGTGGTAGTGGGCGCCTGTAATCCCAGCTACTCAGGAGGCTGAGGCAGGAGAATTGCTTGAACCTGGGAGGCGGAGGCCGCAGGGAGCTAAGATCGCATCACTGCTCTCCAGCCTGGGCAACAGAGCGAGACTCCACCTCAGAAAATAAAGAAATCCTTGGGATCACTCCACAGTCCTCCCTGGAGACATCCCTCACTCCTCTCAACAGCTAGAGGGTACCCCATTGTGTGGACCTACCATGGTGTGGTCAACTGGTCTTCTATTGATGGACACTCTGGTTGTTTCTATTCTTGCTATTATTTTATTTTATTTTTTCTTTTAGTAGAAATGGGGTTTCACCATGTTAGCCAGGCTGGTCTCAAACTCCTGACCTCAGGTGATCCACCCGCCTCGGCCTCCCAAAGTGCTGGGATTACAGGCGTGAGCCACTGCACCTGGCTCTTGCTATTATTTTAAATATGGCTGCAATGGATAGGCTCCTGACATAATCTTTAGCAATTTTTATATCACTACGTCTTTGGGATTGATCCCTAGATGTACCATTGCTGCTTAAAAGGTGAAAACACAGGGTGTCTTGCTCATTACTGTCAAATACCTCTTCAAGAAGGATGGACCGTTTGCCTTTTCCCCACCAATATCGGAGAGAGAAAGTTTTCCCAGCGTCTCACCAGTAGTATTGCCAGATTTTTTGAATTCGCCCATCTGATAGGAGACAAATGACATATTAGTGCATATGTTAACTTGCATTTCCCTTCATATGTGCAAGGTCGCACATCTTTTCCATATGGTTAAGAAAAATTCCTGTTTTCTTTATTCTTATGGACTTTTAGTTTACAGTTTTGGCCCAGTTAGTATAGGGGCCTTGGCATTTTCTCCTTTCCAAGAAAAGTTCTTTGTATCTTAGGGATATATTAGGACATTTACCTTTTCTTCTGATATAAGTCGTAAATCATTTTTCCTGTTTGTCATGAATCGTTTTACCTCATTGATAGTGTTTTGTTTCATTGTTTGCCATGCAAAAGCAGTTTATGTTTCCTTAATAAACTTTATCAACATTTTGCCTTATACCTTTTGGGTTTTTAGACATAGCTGGGAAAGATTTCCCACTCTAAATGTAGAGAAGATTGTCTCCTGTCACACTGTAAACTCCGGTCCACTTGAAATGTATCCTAGTGTATGGTGTGAGGAAGAGATCCCATTTTTCCAATACCACTTGTTAAAAAGTTGCCCCATGGGAGTGATATCAGCATGACAGCAGTCAAGAAAGCTACAGGCCCTCCTTCCCTGATAGAGACATTAGGTTAACAACATTATATAAATCTAAGTACCTCTGTGAGAATTGTAGAGATCACTGGACAAGCTACAGCACATTGGCCCTTGTAAAACCAAGAAGGGATTCCAGTGACAAGGGTAGGAAAAATCCCAGCATTCAGCATACCCCTTGTGCCCCTCCCTCTACATGGTGTAGTGTGGAACACTAGGAAAAAAATAAAATCATGAATTCTGGGCCCCTCCCTTGGGATAAAAACAAGAGAGTGGACCATGCATACAATGTTCTGGCTTGTTTGGGGGCTATTTGAGGGACTACTTTCTGTCTTGCCTGACTTGGGAGGCTGAAGCAACCCAAGATAGATTCTGGAAGCTCCTGAAAACGAAAGTGCACAGCAGGTAAGAGCTGCAGTTGTGTAGGTAGACGCCAGGGGCAACAAGACATTACAAAAGGTTTGAGAGGTCCTAGAACCTCCAGCCAATTGGCGAAGGTCTTCCTGTGCACCAAGCTGGTATGCAAAGACTGGGAGAGG